TCCCCCACATTCAATAAGGGGGAATTGGGATTACACTAAATCGGGGCCCCGGAGCTGTTTGGGGCCCTAAGCAGTTGCTCAGTTTTCTTATGGCTAGTGCTACCAGTGCCAGGTGGACATTGCTGAAGTTCAGTGAAAGTACCAAAGTGCAGCCGGTGCACTGTGGATTCACACTTGGCCCTGCTGTGCAGTAAATCACTTTGTAGATAGGCCCATATTCATGTCACAAGTTAAAATATATATTTCCTTTCCCCTCAATCTATTTTTAAGTTACTTCTTTTATTTGTATTGATGGTTAGATAACAAATTATAGATTTAAAAATAAAACCTTGACAGGACTAAATCAGGAGTAAGAGGAAAATGTATCAATGCTGCAAATAGACTGTTTTATTAACTCATATAACTCTCTTTTCCCCTCCTACCCCAAACTGCAGCCAAATGGATGTTTAACCTTTAACTCACAGTATGTATACTATATGTGCAATTTCCATATTGATTGCAGCTACTGTAAAGCTATATATATTTATACCTTTCATGAGGAGATTGCAATCTAAATAGGCTACGCAGTTGGAGGCCCAGATGATAATGGCGCTAATTTAAGGACTTTGGAAATGTGCACATTCAACAGGACTACTCGTGTATGCTTACTCATGTGGTTAAGCATTTGTAAGATCAGGGCCTTAAATAGTGAGTTTTTGTTGTCTTTATGATGGGGTTACCATTTTTCCTGATGTGGGGCAACATTTTTTGTTTAAAAATAGATGTCTGCTTTTCCTCTTTTGTTTTTCCATTGGTTAATCTTAAGTAAAGTAATGTGAAGGTTACCCTTTGGACTTCCAGCTATGTGATTTGAGGGTCAAATCAAACAGTTAAGCTTTTAAATGGATGTAATAATGGACTAATATAATAAACTAATTGCTCTTACATTTTAATTGGAGGCCATTTATAACTATTCAGGTATGTTTACAGAGTGTCCATTGTCTCTTCAGTCCACGTGTGCAGTACTCCTAGCCCAGTTACATATGTGTATGAAGTAGAGAGTAAATATCAGTTTTTGATCGCTGTATCTAATAGGGTTTATTAAATAGCAGAGATATTAAGTCTGCAGTGCTGTGCTAGTATTTGCAGTATTTGTGAATTTTTCCATTGTAATACGTAATAACATAAAGAATATGTTTGCTCGTTGCTGAGTGATAAGATGACGCCAAGCTACAGTTAAGTCAGCAGTGCAATGACAGCCTGTTGTGTGGCCAAGAAGGCGAGCCAGCTGCTGAGGTTGGCTTTAAGTCTCCTGTTCCCAGATCCACTGTCAGAAGCATCCTGCTTATAATGGATACTCTTTAACAGCAGCGCTCCAGGGATTAGTGGTACAGTTAAAACCTTTCATAAACACTTTCAAAATGTATTTTTAATCTCTGGGTGAAACAGGAGGTGGTTACAAAATGAGGTGAATTCATCTTCTAGATAATTTGTGGAACAGCACGAGAATTGGCATTCTGTGAAATATGCAATATTGGTGGCTGATGGCGAAACACTAAACAGGGATTTTAAAAGAAGAGGAAACATATATAATGAAGAGACAAGAAAAACTTAGAATTCCCACCATCTACTAAAGCTTCATGTTCAAAGTGAAATAGGCTATAACTACATTACCTGCTGTGCCAGAGTACTCATATGTAGCTCTAGGTTCCCACTCAGGGCACTCCACCATTTTACATCGCCCTACAATGGGTGGAATATTTGTGAGCACTTACTAAAATTAACCAATTAAAGACAGTTTATTATCCCCTCCATTTTGTTGGCCGTCGTTGATTACAGCCCTCAGTGTTGAACTGAGATCTAATAATTCTAAACTTCTTGAATGTCATTGTCTTGCCATAAGTTGCCATGTTTCTAATCTTCCCTTTTTGGGTAAGGTTATTGAGAGTATTATTGTGAAGCAATTCAGGTATCTAAAATCCACTGATTTCTTTGATTCCTTTGAGTCTTGCATTCGACCTGCTTATGGCATGGAGACTGAGCTGGATTTTTTGGTTGGTGATCAATGGGCAATAGTCAGGCATCTTAATTGTTTTAGATTTGTCATAATCTTTGACACCACTGAAGGAGATTTTGCTTGCTTGCCTGTTTGCCTTGGCAAGGCTATGCTTGAGTGGCTCTGTGCTTTCCTTTTGGTACTGTCCCAGAGTGGGACATCGGGCAGTTGCTCATTTCAAGGTCACTCTTGTCTGGACTCATACATAGCTGATCAACAAACAATAGATCATTTTAACTTCTATATGGGTTAAACCAGGGACAGCGTAATGGGTGTATTTGACATGTTTAAAAAAAGATAATAGTGACCATGAGAAAACACCTTCTTCTTTTGGATAGCTCCCAAATTACATAGAATCACAGGACTGGATGGGACCTCAAGAGGTCATCTAGTCCAGTACCCTGCACTCATGGCAGGACTAAATATTATCTAGACCATGCAGTGTTTCAAATTGGTATCCATTCCATAGAGAAACTAAGAAACAAGTCATGGAGAATAAACTATCTTCTGACCACTGCAGATCAAAATTGCTCTGGAACACTGGTTGGGCAGTGTGGGAAATTGCTCATTTCTTCAAACTATATATACACTGGGACGACTTTCTTCGCCAGGGCTTTCATTCTAGTATGATTTTTATTATACTTGATGTGAACAGACACTAACATCATGCTTTATTTAATATGTGAAAAATGCCTGCTAATGACTGTATCTCTCTCTACAGTATATATTTCTGCAGTACAGAGAGAGTTATTTGTATTTCTCTCTCTTTAAAGAACTTAGTTGCAGTGTCATTTCTCCCTAAAACTGTCAGAATTGGAAGGGAGTGTGGTTCGTTTATCTGAATCTCTAGCTAAAGAGTTGGCGTGGTGCCAAAAATAGTTGCTCTCTACAGATTGGTAGAGATATGAAAGGAGAGGGCGGAAAAATCTACACATGCAATCTTTTTTCTGGTGTTTTACATATGTGCTGTATGTGTAATGTATGGTTTAAAAAAACCTGCCAACTTAGGTATATTAAACATGTAATAGTTATTTTCATCATATATTTAAACTAGTAAAAATATGCCCATATGTATTCAGTATGTATAACTGATATAAAATTAATTTGGTTTCACATCACATGCATTTTTTCAATTTAATGATGGATTGATTCAAGATTACATAATGAAATATGTAATATAATAAAATGTGATAATAAGAATAAGGAAAAGTGAAAGGAAAAGAAAAACAAAGCGTAAATATTTAAAAATATAAATTAAGGCCCGAGTCTTGCAAATGACTGCATCAGCATAGGGAAAGGGGACTGAGCTCATCAGGAACAGTGATTAACATGTTGGTAGAATTACTTGTACACAGATTTTGGTTTGTTTCTGTTTTTAATTTTTAAGAGGCAGATGAGTTTGTTGTATATAAAATAGGGCTAATGGGACTAATGAGCTGCTCTGACACACTGGATATTACGTGTTTAATTTTTTCCATACATTCCTTAACAGTGATTTATTTCAGATGGAATATTTGTGTTTCTGTGATTTCCTTCTTACACTTTTAAATTTTACATGCCATCACCCACCAAACAGTTTCTGTCTGTTTCTTGACATTTGTAGGAACTTTGAGAAATCATGCTTTTGATTCTGTAGTATGGGATTTGACCAAGATAATTATTTAGATTCCATGCTAGGATCTTCTTATGATTCTTATTGTATTGATGCTATAGCTCACCTATACATTGCTATAGGTGTGTATGATACTTTAGAGACAAACCCTGCAGGATTTAGCCCATATATAAATAAATATATTTTTTCATTATAGGTAATAATTGCAAATGTATCTACCATACTGGTTAGGATAGAACTCAAAGCATGTGCGCTTTTCCTGAACATGCCTTTATTTGACGATGGTAGTGAGATGATGAAACAAATAAGCACGTCAGTTCTTTGGGGGACATCAAAAACTACAGTTGCTGCTGTTCTAATGAAGCAAGAAAAGCTAATGTGTCCCTGTCCCAGTGGGAAAATGTCTTTGTTGTCAGCTTAATTGTAAGTTGATTAATTAAGGGATAAATTCTTCTTGTGAGGCACACTAGCAACCTCCCTTAATAATACAGTACTGGAAGAATAATCCTCTTTGACCTCTGAATTTCATCCTTTAGTTTGCTGACTTTACCTTTTGTCTTGTGCAATGTGAAGGTGCCTGATTACATGGGTTTTTTGTCACTGTGATATGAACCTTTTTAAAGATGTTAGACTTTTAGAGGTCATGGAAGTAAGAGACAACTCCAGGTACATGTTAGAATTTGGCTTTGTGCAAGCTACCTTGCACAACTGTGCTAATCCTCCTCTTTGACCTACAAATATGGTTAAACTAGTCCTGGCCCACTGCAGAATAAAACTTGTGACCCTGCTCAATTAAACCCCGCTCTGAGTGTGTACTATGAACAAATGACTCATAAGAAGTAAGATGATCTCAAATTAGAGAAATGGGATAACATTTTCAAATGTAACTCATTTTCAAAAGTGACTTAAGAGCCTACTTCTCATTGAAAGTCAGTGGGACTTAGGTTCCTAACCCACTTTTGAAAATATGATTAAGCTCCTAAATTACTTAAGGGATTTTACCTATAGTTGTTATAAATGAGAATGCACAGACACACACATACACACCTGTGTGTGTATGTATGTATGTATATATTTATATAGATATAGATTTAAAGGGATAGTAAATGCTTATGCTTCAGGGCATAAAACAAACACTAACTGATGGGTATTAGGAAGAAATGTCCCCCTAAAGGCAGGTTATTTTACAACTGTCCACTACAGCCTTCCTTCCACCATGCTCTAAAGGATTGTTGCTTACTATATCAGAAACAGGGTACGGATTAGATGGATCACTGATCAATTCCTTTTTTCCTGTAATTTCTATGATATTGTGTGAAATTCTGCAAATTCCCTCCTTTCTTTTTGCAGAACTCCAAGCTATAACTACGCACCAAACATGGATAAACACTGGATCATGCAGTACACTGGGCCTATGCTGCCTATCCACATGGAATTTACAAATGTCTTACAGCGCAAAAGGCTTCAGACATTGATGTCAGTTGATGACTCCATGGAAAGGGTGAGCAGCTGAAAATGTCAAGGATAAATTGTTTTATTACACAGTTTTGTAACTTGTATACCAAGTCTGATTCCTCTCTCATTTCTACTCACCTTATGCTGGTGAATTCCATTGACTTCAGTGGAATCATTTGTGATTTACCCCATGTAAGTGAGAAGAAAATCATGTTTATATTCCTAAAGTGATAGGTAGGGTTGCCAACTTTCTAATCACACAAAACCGATCACCCCTGCCCCGCCCGACCTCTGGGGTGGGGGGTGCAGGCTCTAGGCTGGGGATGAGGAGTTTGGAGTGCGGGAGGGGGTATGGGCTCTGGGGTGAGGCTGGGGATGAGGGGTTGGGGTGCAGGAGGAGGCTCTGGGCTTGGGGTGCGGGGTCCCATCGGCGCTTACCGCAGCTCCAAGGAAGTGGCTGCCAGGTCCCTGTGACCTTTAGGCTCATGGGCAACCAGGTGACTCGGAGTGATGCACGCTGCCTTCATGCCCGCAGGTGCCACCCGCCGCAGTTCCCATTGATCATGGTTCCCAGCTAATGAAAGCTGCGGAGCCGGCGCTGAGGGTGGGGCAGCACACGGAGCCTCCTAGTCCCTGGCCGCCCCAGTGCTTAGGGGCCGCAGGGACCTGGCAGCTGCTTCCGGAGGCAGCGCAGAACCAGGGCAGGTAGGGAGCCTGCCTTAGCCTCAGGTCCCTGCTGCGCTGCAGACTGGACTTTTAATGGCCTGGTCAGTAGTTCTGACCAGAGCCGCCAGGGTCCCTTTTCGACTGGGCATTCCAGTTGAAAACCGGATGCCTGGCAACCCCAGTGATAGGGAACCCAAATCTACCTGTGAAAATACAAGTTACTACAAATTCTCTGACTGGTAATGCTACACAGCTGTTTTGTTGTCCACTTTTTTAACTGGTAGTAGAATAAGTGGCTTTTTAAAGGGGAAAAATTAACGTGTGTCCAGTAAGCTAAAGGATCAGTTTCTCACTGTCAGCCAATAGAGCAAATATATAAAGAAATATTCAAGTTCCTCATCTGTAGAGGGCTATGGCACCTATGTACATACACTCAGACATTACCTCTGCTCCACCCTATTTCCTTCACAGTTCATCCTTCAACTAAGTTCTGGGCATCTGGGTTCACTGAAGTACGGACCAAAAATCAGGTGTTAGACTGTTAGTGTTTGTGAGCATATAGATAATACAGAGGACAGCTAACTACATATAATATAGCACATGAGGTGTTAGGAATAGAACTGTTGACCTTTTGTTCCAAAACCCCTCTACATGACCAAAGGCCTTTCCACTGGTGCTAAAGGAGGGACTCCCTTAACATCTAGTAGCAATAAAATGTACAGCCTCTTTCTAAGCCCCTAACTGAAGGGGAGGAGACGCTTACAAACTAACAACACATTCGAGCAAATCCGAGAATGCATCCGTTGTAGAGCTAGTAACTCACCAAACACAGTATTACAATGATTAGAGATTTGTGGGTAGTGGGGACACAAGTCAGATAGCACCATAAATTGCCAAAGTAAACTTTCTGAAATCCCCCCTGAAGCAAACTCTCATATGTCAAGATGTAGAGCTAGTGGGTGAGTAGCAAAACAACATTTTGTTCAGTTTTCTACAGCATGCTAAGGGCATGATGTGCCAAATTCATCCTTGGCATAACTGTTAGTTTCAATAGTTTCCCCAATGTTACATTTGGCCCGACAGGTTTAAATGAGAAAAACTATAATTATGTAAAAAATGGTTTGCAATATTTGATTCTGAGTTTTTCCTATGCTATCTTTCAGTTATACCATATGCTTGTGGAGACGGGAGAACTGGAGAATACCTACATCATTTACACTGCTGACCATGGTTACCATATTGGGCAGTTTGGACTGGTCAAGGGAAAGTCAATGCCATATGACTTTGATATTCGAGTTCCTTTCTTTATTCGTGGGCCAAGTGTAGAGCCGGGATCAGTGTACGTTCTCCTATGTCTGCAGCACAGCTGCTGTACCTCATTTGAAATGTTTCTAAGCACATCTGATGGTCACTCTAAGTGTCTGGTTTCCTTTCATAAAGAATACTCTGTTAATGCAGGACACTGCCTTAGAAGAACAAAAGCATGTCTGTTAAAATGTGTAATAGAAAATTGTATTATTTATAGCCCTGGATAGTTAGGTTTTGTCCTTTATTTTTAAAAAGCAGTTAGGTTAAAATGAGGACAGCTATTGCTTCTCTTCTGGCTTAGCAGAATGGATTTATTATGAGTGAGATGGGAGTTATAACATGCCTGTTTCAACTCCTTATTTAACTGTACCTTGCTCAGATGCCCTTTATGACAGTATCCAATGATATTGGTCTGTCATTTTCAAAGTCACAGCCCTCTAGAGGGAACTTCTGCACTTAGCACTTATATAGAGCTTTTCACCTTCAAAGAACTCATACACATTTATTATTATTCTAATTCTGAAAGAATGTGAAGGGTTACATATCTTACACAAGATTAGGGTAACCAGATAGCAACTGTGAAAAAACGGGACAGGGGGTGGGGGGTAATAGGCGCCTATATAAGAAAAAGTCCCCAAAAACGGGACTGTCCCTTTAAAAATGGGACATCTGGTCACCCTACACGTGATACAATTCTGACCTTTTCTATTAATTTGCAGAGTGCCTCAGATAGTGCTGAATATTGACCTTGCTCCAACGGTTCTGGATATTGCAGGACTTGACGCGCCTCCAGATATGGATGGCAAGTCTGTCCTAAAACTTCTGGACCTCGAAAAGCCAGGAAACAGGTAGGTCATTGCCATTTCTCAAAGCCAATTCAGCAGCAAACACCTGAGTAAATCAACAGCTGAATGGAAAAGAAATTGTGGCAAAATAAGCTATGTCAAACCCAATGACCACAGCTTTCACATTTCAAAACTGTTTTAAATAGCACATTTATAAAATTGCACGTATACATGAGCCAAGAGGTCATTTAAAAACAAATAAATTGTTAACACTACCGCTACTATTCAAAAACAGTCACAGATGCCAGCAGTAAATATTATTATTTTGCTTTCAGGTTTCGAACAAACAAGAAGACCAAAATTTGGCGTGATACATTTCTGGTGGAAAGAGGGTAATTATTAAAGCTGAGAACGTTTTGGGAAACTTGCCTGGTGGCAAGCTTGCTTGTGCTTGCTCTCTTCTCTTTTTAGTGGTCAGCTAGGCTGTAAAGTCTGCAAGTACACTGACAGGGTTTCTTTGTTCCCCAGCGCAAGCTGTGCAACCAGTGGCTCTTCTTCTTAGCGGTTTCATAAGAGATTTGAGTGGGTGCTTTCCACAGCAACTTTACTGGCCCATCCCTTCCACTTGCCTAGATTTGCTCTTTAACCTCAGACCCACGGCCGTTCACTTGGTCACCTGGCTGATTTTCCCTTCCCATTCCAACACTCTTCTCCAAGTTCTGCTGTTGAGGTGATGGTGCAACATTCTTCTATCAGATAATTTTATAGTTTTCACCTCAGTTAGAAATCCTTCTCCTTTTGATTTAAGTAAAGGAACGGTCCATATGTAAATGAGATTCATAAATATAGCTATTCAACATTTTCTCACACAATTTATCATTTACATTGCCTTGCCCTTTATTACTGTGAAAATTCTCTGAGTAAAAGTATTACAATAATTCCTTTTATGGCACTTACGACGTGGCAGTCTGTGAAAATAAACTTGTGGGTATGACTACACTAATAATTCCTAAAGAGAAGCAATGACTGCTGGTGTAGGTTTCCAGTATGTCACTTGGACCATTCCTTTACTGCAAAAGCTCCTGTTGCTATATCTCACAAGCACATGAATGTTTTTAACTTAGAACAGGGGTTCTCAAACTTCATTGCACCGCTTCGCCCTTCTGAAAATAAAAATTACCACACGACCCCAGGAGGGGGTCCGAAGCCTGAGCCTGCCCAAGCCCTGCCACCCTGGACAGGGGGGCCAAACCCCTGTAACCTGAACCCCACCACCCAGGGCTGAAGTCTAACACCAGCCCTGGCAACCCCATTAAAACGGGGTCGCGACCCACGGTTTGAGAACTACTGTCGTAGAAGATGGCCACCAGATTCTAAATCTTGAATATCATCGCTTTTTAAATGAAATGTATCCCCTTCAACGTTTGAGTGCATTGCCTACAAAAAAATTAACTCTTTTTCCCTTTTGAAAGCAAATTTCTGCGCAAGAAGGAGGAATCCAACAAAAATGCCCAACAGTCTAACCATTTACCAAAATATGAGAGAGTAAAAGAATTATGCCAACAAGCGAGATACCAGACAGCTTGTGAGCAACCAGGACAGGTGAGCAACAAATGATTCCAGAACTGTATACACCCTAATGGAATGTATTTCTGGGAATGATGTGGTGACATACTGCATGAGGTTTATCGGAAATAGGTTAAAGAGTCCGCATTTGCCTAATGTCTCTATAAGCAAGAAAGTATAAAAATGTCTTGGTGCATTACATTAAATATAGGGTGACTATATTTCCCAAATATTTCCCAGGCCCATGTCAGTGGCCATCCTGGACACCGGGGGTATCCTTCCCCTCAACCCTCTTGTTCACTATCTTTGAGAGCACTCTGGTGGCATCGGCACGGAGGGTATCATTCTCTGGTTCCCAGTAGTGCGGTCGGTACCAACCAGCCAGCAGTCACTCAGGCAGCTTCTCCGCAGCAAGACATAGATCAGCCACCACTTCAAAAGCCAGTGGTGTCCTCTCCCTCTTCTCCAGATGAAGCTATTGAGCCGTCAAGTGATTCTCCACTGCCAGAGGATCACTGAGCTCATCAAGATCTTTTGAGAAGGGTGGCCTCTGTGCTTGACATTCAGGCAGAGGAAATGCATGAAAGCTCTCACAAGTTGGTGAGAAAATGCCATCAGGTCTGTTCTTGGGGAGGTCTCAGCCCAGGCTCGCTGATAAATGCTTTTTTCCTATCCTGGAAGAATTCCCTCCTGTACACCTTCCCTCCAGTTTCTTTACAACCCAAGTTCTTATTCAAAGTCAAAGAAGATCATGCTTGCCTCATCCTTATAGCACCAGCATGGCCTTATCAGCACTGGTACTCAACCCTACAAGCCTCCACTGTCTCTCCTGTTGGATCCAGACATCATTTCCCAGGACCACAGTTGCCTGCTCCATCCCAACCTCAGAGCCCTCCATCTGACAACATGGCTGCTTCGTGGTTAACACCATTTGAGAGATCCTGTTTAAAGGACATTCAGAAAGTGCTTATGAATAGCAGAAAACCCTCCAGTAGGAGCACTTACCTGGCTAAGTGGAAGTGCTTCAACATTGGGTCCCATCAGAAAGGTGTATCTCCAAAGTGGGCACTCCTGGATCTCGTACTGCATTATCTTCTATGTCTAAAACAGAGTTTGGCTATTAGCTCTATAACAGTGCCTTTGGCAGCTATTTCAGCCTTCCACATCTCAGTAGATAGTAGATCCCTTTTCTCCAATCCCCATTGTCACCAGACTCCTGAAGGGTTTCCTCAACATTGTATGTGCAAGATCCTATCCCTCCTTGGGGTCTGATCTTGGTCCTAGAAAGATTGATGGGACCACCCTTTGAACTCCTTGCAACTTGCTCTCTGGTGCACTTCTTTATTAAGGTAGCAATACTAGTGGTCATTACCTTGCCAGAAGGACGGGAGAGTTAAAAGCCCTAGTATCAAACCCTCCCTGTACAGTTTTCCATAGGCATAAGGTTCATCTTAAGGTTTCCTGTTAGCCAAGCAATCTACATACCAATTTTCTTTCTGAAACTTCAGGCTCATAGAGATGAGGAGAGACTACTCTTGGTGAAGTGAGAAGGGCTCTAGCTTTCTATCTGGAACATACTAAGTCTTTTAGGTCTTCTTCTCAGTTGTTTATTGCAATTTTGGACAGACCTAAGGGCAGATCAGTGTCTACTCAAAGGATTTTATCCTTTGTGCATTCATTTATACTACCAGTTGGCTAATATAACCCCAACAGCTAAGCTATTGACACATTCTAGTAGAGTGAAGGCAACATCAGCAGCTGGCGCACGTACCTATCATAAACATTTGTAAAGCAGAAACTTGGTCATCTGTCCACATTTTGCTAGATGGAGTAGGTAGCTAGGTATCAAATAGTACACTTGCACCAGCAGCCGTTCACTAGTGTTTAAAAAAAATGGGAGCTGGGTTAAGGAATTTAAAAAAAAAATGAAGCCCAAAATATTTAATTGATTCTGAATTAACGCAATATATTTAGTGATGATATGGAGGAGGGGTGTCTCTTGTGACGTGTAGAATTCTGAATGTATTGAATGCAGTTTTACAAGAATATTCCCTATTAATAATAAACATTGAAAATACATTTGTAGGTTTCCCTCAGAAGCCCAGTTATAGCATTCTAGCTAATTATAATCATTGCTTTTAAAAGAAATATTAGCAAACTGTTTTGAATGAGAGTACAAAGCGCTGCTGTGCTTAATTTCCAGTTTCAGTCTGTAGCCACCTGTGATGCTTTATCCAAAGCAGGTAGAGTTCTGTAAAACAAACAGGATGGCACTCACCATAGTTCATACACTGAAAAATAATCCACTCATGCCTTTATTCTTGCCATTCATTGAAACACACTGTTACAGTACATCTCATTTAATCCCAGATTGGTCTGGAATGTGTTTTGACTGGCAAACCATCAAGAGAGTCCTTTGCCACAGTTCTCACCTCACCCATGCTTATAAAATACAGCCACTTTTGAAAGAATATACACAATATATCAGTCTCCTTGAAAGGCAAGGTTTTCAAGTGTCAAACTATTGCCATTGCAAACAGTGATTAAAACAGGTGGGGGCAAGCTGAACATTTCTACAAAAACGGAGAGATCAATGGTCTCATTTAGACCTTTGAACACTAAAGTGTTGAGTTTTAAAATACCAAACTATTTTCCTTGCAATTATTTCATGTGCTTGTTACATCTTATGCCAAACTATGATTTTGTAATAACTTTTGTAATACACATGTGGAAAAGGTAAGATTAAGTGAGTTGATCGAGTGTCAGAACTGCAAAATTAGGATCCCTTGCTCTCAGTCCTATCCTTAATCCACTGGAGTAAGCCATCTAGCTGCCCTTCTTTTGATCAGATATCTCATTGGTTGCAGGCACTAGGCTAGAAGGGAGCTTGCAATACCAATGGCATGTAATGCTGCCTCCCACAGCTGTGATTGGTTTGGGCTCCTTTGAATAAGCAAGGATTCTTTAGCCATGGGTTCATGGAGCCCAAAAGCCAGCCCGGAGCTGCTATATGAGGGTCTGTTTGTAACCAAAGATCTTTAGGAAAAAAATCAGTGACAAACTTTCAGTCCTAATGATTGCCTTACATTTTTAAGGATATAGCACAAATAAATCAGATAGAAAAATAATAGGCTAACATTAGCCGTGACATTTCTACAGCCTTCAGGAACCCACGGCCTAAGCTAAAGTTAATGAGCCAAATCATTCCTGTGGTAACTCAGTTGACATCTGTATAGTAATACCAGGGACAAATTTGATCCCAGGTCTCCACAGCAGAGTTAACTTGTCCATATTGCATATATAGAACAAAAAGAACCAGGATGAAATACTAAATGCATTCCTTAATAATAATTCTGCTTACAGCAAAAAGTGGCTGGTTTTCAAAGTTAGGTACATGTAATTGAGAGCATATACTAACACGTATCCACATGGTAAGTACACACAAATTGGATGTGGTCACTTACACAAAGCCAGTTACATGCATGACTGACCACAAGGGTGCATAGTTTCCAAATTTTGCACATATTTAATATATCTGTCTATTGGATTTCAAACCCTTTCTCCTCTCCTTCACAGTTTGGGATGTTCAGATGCTGGTTTTTCTTTTGCTTATAAGTGAGCTAGAGGCCTGCTGTGAAATTCAGAGACTGATTAAAGTTCAGACTCCAACCTTTGCCACACTCGCCCCACCTAACTTATTTGGTTGGTCAGATCCAGAGTTTTTGGTCCAGATCCAGGCCAATATATCAATACCATGGGCCAAGTTCTCTGGCCGCACTGCTCCCTTTGCACAGCTTGAACTGTGGAAACTGCCCATATTCCCTCTGCCAGCGTGGGAGAGAATCCAATAATTACAGAACTGGGATAGCAGGCTCCTTACCTGCCCCTTCCCCACAAACCAAACATAGGGGGCAGAAAGGTGGCATGAGAAGAATATGCTGTGCTCCTGCTGTACCCAGCTGGTGGATGGTTCTTTAGGGTATTGCCATGATAGAAACAGCCAGAGAATCAGGGTGCATTACCTGGCACCCTGAAAGCCCCCATATCTGCTGTGCCCACCAGAAGCTAAACACCACAGAGAATCTGAGCCTGTATATTTCCTCTTTATATAGTTTATGAGCTAAATTTGTCTCTGGCTTAACTGGGTGAAAGCCTATGATTATAGTGGAGTTGAACCCAGTTAAATGAGCATTGATTATGACTCGGGTTTTTTTTCATTGTAGTAGCTTGAAGTTTTCTTTCAGTCAGTGGTGAATATTTCCAATGACTATTTTACTGTTCTCCGACACTACAGTAATTCCATACGAACACAAGAATGGCCGTACTGAGTCAGACCAATGCTCTGTCTAGCCCAGTATCCTGTTGTCCATCAGGAGCTAGTGCCAGATGCTTCGGATGGAATAAACAGAACAGGGGAATTTATCAAATGATTCATCTCCTATCATCCAGTCACAGCTTCTGGCAGCCAGAAGTTGAGACACCTCAAACATGGGGTTGCTTCCCTAAACATCTGGGCTAATAGCCATTGAGGGACCTATCCCCCATGAATGTACTAATACTTTTTTGAATCCAGTTATACTTTTGGCCTTCAGAACATTCCCTGGCAACTAGTTAACTGTGCGTTGTGTAAAGAAGTACTTCTTTGTGTTCCTTATGTTTGTTTTAAACCTGCTGCCTATTGATTTCATTTAGAAACCCCGGTGAAAGGGTAAATAACAATTCCCTAGTCATTTTCTCCACACCATTCATATTCTAGAGCTCTGTCATATCCCATCATTTTGAATGTATAATTGGGATTATTTTTTCCAGTGTGCATTTATTTACATTTATCAATGTTGAATTTTATCTGCTATTTTGCTGACCAGTCACCCAGTTTTGTGAGATTCCTTTGTAACTCTTCACGGTCTGCTTTGGACTTAACTATCTTGGGTAATATAGTATTGTCTTCAAACTTTGCCACCTCACTGTTTACGCACTTTTCCAGATAATTTAGGAATATGTTGAACAGCACAGGTTCCAGCCCAGATCCTTGGGGG